ATCACTCGCAACGCAGCTTATCAATTATTGAGAAATGCGAGGGAAAAACATGAGAGAAACCGCTAAAATTCATAAATCAAGCCACAAATCAACAAACTCCAGGAGGAAAACAGGAAGAAAACACGAAGATATAATCAATAAGAGAAGATCCGAAACAAGTACCTGTTGAGATGGAGAAGTAGATATCGGGAGCGGAAAGAGACGAATGAACTTACAAGATTCGTGACCGATAAATCAACAGCGGAAGAACTGGAAAGCCTGAAAAGAAGAGAGAAGGAAGGAAGGAAGGAAGGAAGGAAGATGAAGGTCAGAGAAGCAGAATATTAGCTGGAAACCAATTCGGGTGAGTGATATTGCTACGTGAAGTGAAGCTGCTGAACATTCAGCAAATCTTCTGCCATTGTTAAAGCTCCTGTCCTTTAGCTTTTTATTTAATGGAGTTTGTTTATTCTTTTTTTGGATAAAAGTTTGAAAATATGGGTTTTTCTTTTTTTTTCTTTTTTTCTTAATTTTTATTGCATTTTTTAGTTATTTAATCATTACAGTTCATTTCATGGGGGGCGAAATGCTGACCTGGCAGTTATGTGGTCCCCACACCGAAAGACTGGGCCTGTAGATGGTTGACCGATTTTTTATTTTTTATTCTTTTTATTTTTTTATTAGAATGTGCAATCCTCCTAATTCCTACGCGCCTAGGTCTGTATAGTCTGACATGTTTTCTGTAATTATCGGTATTGTTATACAACTAATTATAATTTAATTTCTTTTTCATTTTTTTTAACAAAATATTAACTCCAACAAACTTTTAGTCAACGAAATTTAAAATATTTTACTTCAAAAAATTATCTAAGATTTATATATATATATTTCATTTATTTATTTATTTATTTATATATAATAAATTTATTTGAATTAAGTTTGATTTAAATAAATAAAATTTTTTATAAATTGACATTATTAAAAGCTTTAAAATATATATTAAAATGAGGGGTAAATCTTAGTTAAATATTTTAAAATAAATAAATATATGTTTTTTTATTAAAAACAAAATTTTGAATAAATCATTTAAAAAGAATTGTTTCGATTAAAAAATTTTACCACTCAACTCTTAAACACTATTATCTTTAAATAAAATTGCTCTCGAGTCTATATGCTCCTTAATAAAGTTAAATATCAATATTAATACGGAGAATTCAAAAACTTTATATAAAAATTATATAAATTAATAATTAAGTTATATTTATATTTATATTGAATTTAATATATTATATTTATAAAATATATTAAAGATATCGAGTAAGTCTTAATATCGTTGTTCAATCTCAAATTTCCAGATATATCGACATATATTTTAACCTACGGTACTAACTGAATCTAAATTTGAGGTAATTTTATAATTTATCAGTGTAAAACTTTCGACTAGTGTGACATAATAAACGTCATTAAATATAATAACAAGATAATTTATTTTTGAAATAAGTGGACATGTTTTATTACCCATCTCTCCACGCCTATCATTTGCTACAAAACCCCTTTACTTACACTTAATTGCATTCAAGTTGTTCAAAATCTTTTAATTATTTAAAGCATCGCATGAACAAATGATGATCCTTGTTTTTTAATACTAATTATACCTATTTGGTGGTACTTTCATATGTAACATCTCTTCCCTAATCTTTACTTTAAAACCACTTTTGTATTACGGTCGAATGTAATCTCAGTTCATTCATGTACTTTTTTTTTACTCGAGCATTATAATTTATTTTCAAAAAATACTTGAAGTGATAAACAAACTCACCCTTAATTTGATTTGAAAGATAAGAAAGTGTAACGACTCGCTTTTTCGAGGGACTCGAGCCATAGACCGTTAATTATTGACATGTAATAATAATAATAAATATGTAAAAATGAAAATATTTGATTTTATAAAATAGAGACGGATACCGTAAAAATACATTACTGCAAGTTCAAACTAAAAGATATATGAAATACAGGATCTTAAAGAAAATTGTGGCGGGACTCCACCTCGACCACTACATTAGGCTTCGCCGGAAAGGAAAATTGAAGTAACACGGTTGAATATATAAAATTAAAGTAGATGTTAGTTTCATCATTTTCCTTGGAGTTCATACCTCAACATGTTCTAATTACTTATCTTTAATGTCATAAATGAGTCTGGTATAAAGTCACGAAACATATTAAAATTCTTATAAGGGTATTTTGGTCATTTATCACCACACATCTTGATTTTAAGTCGTTAGCATATTCCGATGGCCTTGAAACTTTACTTGGTCCAACTAAAAAAATAAATTTATAATTTTAAATAGATAAATGTGAATGAATAAATAAATAAAATAATTACCGAATGACAGCTAAAAATAAGAGAAATGTGAAAAAATAAATTAATAATGAAGCCGAAAAAAAATATTTAAAATCTGACCCTTAATTTCATCAAAGGAATTGGGCCAACTCAGAAGCTGGCTTGTGGACGTCATATTTGGGCCCATTAAATTATCAGCCCATTGGACCAACTCACGGTCTAAGCCCAACATTAAAAAATTATATTTTATTCATATTATTCTTACCAAAATTAATTCAATTAATTATTAAACAAGAATAAATCAATAATATTTTATTAAAATATATACTTCAGTCAGTTTTATAAAAATAACGAAATATCTTAAATATAATTAATTAAAATAAGTTAAATTGAGCTAGTTTAAAATTTTAATTAATTACTTATTTGATTATCGGTCACAAATTAGTTATTTATTATTATTAATTTTGATTAGCTCATTCAATATTAATCTATTTTGAGTATTTCTAATTCCAACTCATCATTACCATATAATAGTTGGATTGAACTTTCAGCATCTCTTTATATTGTTAATTAATTATATTTTATATTATTTAATTAATAATTTTTAAAATATACATATTAAATAATTTTGATTATAAATTAATTGTTCGCTTTTTAAAATATTTATAATTAATCATTTAAGAAAAATAATTATTTATTTTTATTAATAATTTGAATTATTTTATTATTTTTACTAATTAATCTATTAAAATTATAAACTAAATACAAGCCTATTTTATTTCTACCAAATTCTAATAATATCTCCACATTTTACGTCGAGATATTTTGAGTTAGACAATTAAACCTAATTTTATGTTATTATTTAATGCACCACCAAAATTTTACTTCTATTTTTTTAAAAAAATTAATAAATCAATAGTTGTTTAATAATAAGTTAAAACATAGTTTTATTGATTAAAAAGTTGAAGTAAAAAGTGCACTTTTTTTTTTTTTTTTTTTTTTTTTTTTTTTTTTTTTTTTTTTTTTTTTTTTTTTTTTTTTTTTTTTTTTTTT